TTTTAATTTTTAAATTTTTTTTGAGAGAGAGAGAGAGTGAAAGAGAGAGCACAAGAGGGGGTAGGGTCAGAGGGAGAAGCAGACTCCCCACCGAGCAGGGAGCCTGATGCGGGACTCGATCCCGGGACTCCGGGATCATGACCCAAGCCGAAGGCAGCCGCCCAATGAACTGAGCCACCCAGGCGCCCAAATTGTCCTTATTTCTATGCAACACACCTGCCTATGTTAAAATTCCAAAGAATCTACAAATATCTCTTGAAATGAGTAAGTGAGTTTAGCAAGTTCATAGGACACACTGTCCACATGCATAATGGATTGCCAGCAATCAAAAAATGAAATCTAAAATAAAAAAATATATAATAAAACCTATTTGCATATAAATTTAATTAAATATGTGCAAGATCTATATTCAGAAAATTACAAAACAATAATGAAATAAATCAAAGAAGAGCTAAGCAAGTGGAGAGTATACATAGCTTGTTAATTAGAAGATTCAATACTGTTAAAATGTCAATTTCTCCAATCCCAGTAAGCTTTTTTTTTTAGATATCAACAAGATGATTCTCAAACTCATATGAAAAGGCAAAGCAACCACAATAGCTAGAATAATTTTTTAAAAACCCCATAATGTTGCAGGATTCATATTACACAATGTAGACTTACTATAGAGTAATCAAGACTGTGTGCTATTACTGGACAATGTGGTACTGGTAAAAATCATACACACAGAGATCAATGGAACAAAAAGGAAAAGGTAATTTGGTGGAGAAAAGATAGTGTTTTTAACAAACAGTGATAGAACAGCTGGATGTCCATATACAGAAAGTGAACTTAGACCCATGACCCAGTTTACACAAAGTAGCTCAAAATGCATCATAGATATGAAAGCATTGTAAGGAACTCAGGAAGATACACTTTGATCCCTTTTCTAAGGGGGAAGAGAATCCATGAAGTAGATGAGCTTTGTGAGTAAACAAGTGCAGCCAGAAGAGATGGCACAGTGAGGACAAAGGTAGGTAAGAAAAGAGAAGAGGAATATAGGGGATTCCATGGAAAAAATGTCTGAGGTCTGAAGGAGACGTAAAAACACCTACTAAATCAAGATTGAGGGAGACATCTAACAGCAAGAGAAAAAGGTTGGGGGAGGAAAAAAAACAACGGTTTAGTTGGATTATAAGGAATAAGACTGATCATGAGATCTCCCAGAATCCTTTGGTGATTTCTATTTTAGAAGCAAAGCAAACTAACAGCTTGTGCTAATTTTCAAAGGCTATGACCTTTGGCTATTTTTATGTTTTTTACCCACTAAACAAGACACCAAAGAAGCATTAATGTACAGAATAATGAATGATTATAAACCCATTAACTCTTATTCATGGTTCATGTCTGACACAGAGCACATGCTTACTAAATATTTGCTATTGTTAGTGGAGCTCAGAGGGCAAAGCAGAATCAAGTATTAGTTTTGAATAGAAATATAAGAGGAAAGGTTATTGAAAATGACATAAGACTAGAGCAAAATTACAGAATGTTCAACTCCACTGTTGACAAAGTATTTTAATGAGCATTTTGTAAGCCTAAAAGGACATGAAAGAAAGTTCTATATGTCTTTAATAAATTTGCCTTAAAGGAAATTAATATACCTTAAATGGAAATTTACCTTATTAGAAATACACCATTAAAATTTCACCTTAAAGGGAAAGTAGAAAATTTACCTTAAATGAAATACATTAAAGAACACACACACATCCAATGATAAAAACACTATGTGGGAATGGATGCATATGATTTCTTTAACATAAGGACCAGAACTATGGTTGGATCCACAGATTATAGCAAAGGGAAAAAAAAAACCACCTCAAATTGCATAAACAACAGAACTCAGTCACCAAGGAATTTTTAATGAGTGGGATTCTAACGACACACAGCACTTACCTTTTGTGTAGGGCATTTGTCATCCACCTGTAGAGCTGGCCAGGTAACTTGGATCTAAGAGGCTACTAACTGGTGAACTGATTACTTGGGGACGGAAAATAATTAACTCGAACTAAAAAAGCAACACCTTGGGAGGAAACAAAGGTACTTAGGATATAAACTTTACCTAAAATTTTACTTAGCATTTGAGCCTTGAGACCCTCAGGAATAATGTGGTGGGGTACAAATGCAGAGTGTATAAATTATGATTTGACTAATTTTGGAAAATGAAGTTTTGACTTCAAGCTTTTTTTCTGCAGGTGACCTCCTATCATTTATTTGAATGGAAGGTATGACAGGTGAGAGTAGTTACAAAAAATGCATGGATTTTGTAATTTTTTATGGATACTTTGGGGAATTAGAAAGTGAAATTCATCAACAGCACTTGCTGAGTAGAGAAAAATTTCAAGTCAGCAACTTAAAAGAAAATCATTCAAATAGTTAAAGAATGCTTGTGATTTCAATGAAGAGAGGACATAAAAACTGTAAAAGAAGAACACCTTCAAAATAAGTGCAGAGGAAAAAATGTGAGTAATTTTTTCCATTATTCTGCAGAAATATGTAATAATACCTTCTGAATAAAATATTTTTAACTACTATGTTAGGAAAACATTAATTAGCAGCTAATTTTAAAGTAGATTTTACTGTGAATTCTACAGTCTAAGGTTTTGGTTTAAGAAAGGACTAAATTCAAAGAGATCGTGGTTGTCTACTGAGGATAAAATCACATATTCTAGAAAAATAAGATCAAAATCATGTACTAATTCTGTCTATTAGATGCCTATACATTAAAAAAGGACAAATTATTACAACTTTAGGAAGATGGTCAGTAAAACATTGACTAATAATAAAGTAATTTTAATTCTGCAAAAGACCTCCTGATGGGATCATTGAAGCTAGTGCATTCATTCTACAGATAGGAAATTTATATGCCAAGAGAATACTAGGCCCCAAATGTAAGGTGTGGAAGTATTAGGGCATGCACCCAAACAGTTTTCTCCTACCTATTTTTCTCACTTGGCCAATAGCTGAAGTTGCAATATCACCACTCATGCTTGAGAGAATAAGAAATATATTGCTTCCTAGAGAAGCACATGAGCTGTACGTTTGTTTTCTTTCTAGAACTGGCTTATTTATTCCAGAATCCTGAACTGATTTGGTTTGTGGTTTTTCATGGAGACTTGAGTCTATCTTATAGTTCTGTGTTTCCTTTTACACATTTTCCGTTTAAATTTGAGTGACTAAAATGGGACAATTATCCATTCAGGACGGATCCTGGTTTTGTCTGGAAGATTCAGAAATGTGTGCAAATTTCAGATTTGGAACAGCCAGAGTTCATGTTAAATTTATATTGTTGCTTCAGTATTTTCCTTTTGAGAGGCTGTAAAGTGTTTAGAAACAGGCACTGGAGTCAGAAAACTCAGGTTATAAACCCTACTTTGCTATATATACGAGTCATGTTACTATACACAAGTTCCTTAACCTCTATAAGCCTAAAATAATTTTATAAATAATCATAAAATTATAAGATAATTTTATTTTTCTTTGTGTACATTAATTTCAACACAATAATACTGACTTGTGCAGTTTTTTTTTTAAAGATTTTTCTCACCTATGATCAAAGCTGAGTCTCAGTGGTAGTCTGAATTACATAGAGCAAGATATATTTTTCTAGATTTCAAATGAAGAAAAACTTCTTAAAAGAAAGTAACTGACATGCAAAGGTCATATCTGAAGTTAGTGTCTGAATTAAGACATGTAACAAGGGATTCCCCAAAAACTACAATGAATGATCAGACTATACACATGATTTTTAAATTATTTATTTATTTATTTTTCAAGATTTTTTTTTATTTATTTGAGAGAGAGAGAGAGAGAGCATGAGCAGAGGGAGAGGGAGAAACAGGCTCACCGCTGAGCAAGGAGCTGGATGCAGGACTCAGTCCTAGGACCCCGAGATCATGACCTGAGCCAAAGGCAGACGCTTAACCTACTGAGCCTCCCAGGTGCCCTACACATGATTTTTAAAAGGCATTAAAATATGTGGCAGTTAATCGAGGTAGCCTGATGTCTGTAAGGAAGTTGAATCAAGGACTGCCAGGCAGGCCATTAAGCATAGCTGTCTTCTGCACCAAGACAACTAGAGATTCAAGGAATATTTTTAGCAAACTCCTAATAAAGGCAGACAGATTGATGGAATGGCTTTGCCTGAGAACATTCCAAGACTTTACTTAGAGACTTAAAATTATGCAAAAGCCTTTATGCTTGAGCAAAGATAAAGAACATATTTCAGGAATGTTTGATGAATAATTCAAGCCAATAGTATATTCAGCATTATATTTTATTCAAATTAAAATAGCCTCTTAACTTATTGGCTAATACCATATAATCTGATTTGGAGAATCATCAGAAGTTATTTCTTAATAATTTGTCCTTAATGAATTCAAGTTCTTAAAATTCCACTGTGGAAATGAATATTTCTTTAAAATTCCATCTCTATTACAGTGTTATTATTCATTGTATGGGTGACCACGTTAACTTAGTAAGAGTTGAAGAGGAAATTTAAATAGGAATTGATTGAGAAGCCAAATGTAAGGTCAGGGCTGAATCATGACCCTGAATCATGAAAGTACAGACATCATGAAGATATCTGGTCAGAACTGATCCTAAAATTGTAAAAGTATTGGGTGGAACACATTGTTAAGCAATAAGTACCATGTTTTCAGTAGCATCCAAGACTCAATTGTGGATTGATCAAAGGCCCTCTTGTTGACTAAGGCAGACATTGATCACAATTTTCTGGTAGATTTAATGAAAATCTGCTAATTTATGTTCCCCCAGTCTTCTTACCAGTCATTTTAATTGAATACTTGATTTTTATTCTCTGAGACACTGAATGAGGCATATTCAACCTAGTAAATTCCTTGAATAGGATATGATCATCCCTCTACTGAAGAAACCTTTCTAAATATGGCCTCGTTAATTCTGTATTTCAGGTGATTCATGTATTCTATCTATGCTGGACCATGGATCAAAGCAATAATGTCACTGTATTTATTCTCTTGGGACTTTCCAAAAACAAGAATATTGAAATCCTTTGTTTTGTATTATTTTTATTTTGCTACATTGCTATTTGGGTGGGAAACTTGCTCATAATGATTTCTATCATGTGCAGTCGGCTAATTGAGCAACCCATGTATTTTTTCCTTAATTACCTCTCCCTCTCCGACCTTTGCTACACATCTACTGTGACACCCGAACTAATGACTGACTTATTGGCAGAAAGGCAGACCATTTCCTACGGTAACTGCATGACACACCTCTTTACCACACATTTATTTGGAGGCGTGGAGATCTTCATCCTCACAGGGATGGCCTATGACCGCTACGTGGCCATCTGCAAGCCCCTGCACTACACCGTCATCATGAGCAGCCAGAGGTGTAACTCAATCATCACAGCTTGCTGTACTGGGGCATTTATTCACTCTGCCAGTCAGTTCCTCCTCACCATCTTCCTACCTTTCTGTGGCCCCAATGAGATAGATCACTACTTCTGTGACGTGTATCCTTTACTGAAGCTGGCCTGCACTGACACATACAGAATTGGTCTCTTGGTAGTTGTTAATTCAGGCCTGATTGCTCTGGTGACTTTTGTGATTTTGATGGTGTCCTATTTCCTGATATTATACACCATCAGGGCTTACCCTGCAGAGAGCTGCACCAAAGCTCTTTCCACTTGCAGTTCCCACATCACAGTTGTGGTTCTGTTCTTTGTGCCTGTTCTCTTCATTTACATTCGGCCAGCCACAACTTTCCCAGAAGACAAAATGTTTGCTCTTTTCTACACCATCATTGCCCCCATGTTCAACCCTCTGATCTATACACTGAGAAACATGGCGATGAAGAATGCCATGAGGAAAATGTGGTGTCATCATTTGTTTTTGGAAGGGAAGTAACTTGTATTAAAAGCATTCTAGAATTTCACTTTAGGGTTCTATCCTGAGCCCTAGAATTAATAATAAATGATATACAAAGAGTGTATAGTGATTGCAAAAGCCAACCACAGGTTGGAGCTTAGAATCTTTAGCATTACCTCAGACCCCTCCTGACTGGATGATTTTATTATTTTTTAAAAAATGTTTTCTTTTTTATTGAAGTATTATTGACATACAATATCCTGTTCATTTCAGGTGTACATCACAATGATTCAATATTTTGATACATTTTGAAATGATCCCAACAAGTTTAATTACCATCTGTCACCATACAAAGTTATTACAATATTTTTGATGATTGGACAATTTTCATTTATTTTTTCAGTTCATTCTTCCTCTATTCTCCTCACATTACAGTCCTAAGTCCTCCTTAATTTGATACTTTATTTTGAACATATAAGGAAATCTTTTCCCGCTTCCTCTTGACTTCTACTATCACTAGAGTGTGCACTCCTATTGACAGAAACAATAAGAAACCATCTGGTAGATAAGAAATATAGGTAGATTTTGCTCCCAGCATCTCAGAGGAGATCATATAAAGGTAGGTTTTTGAGCTGAGGGTAATAGGCACATGAGCTATTCAACATTGATAAACACTCTTCTGTATGATATTTGAACCTAGTCTCACTCTCTCCCTTCCAGAAAGGAAACATAACATCCTCAACATTCTGAACAAAGTTAATTTTAATGTTAGCTTCTCTTCTAGTTCAGGTTATCATCTTTCCTTATAAATCTGTAACATTAAGAACAGACTGCAAAATTACTCAATACATTGCTACAAGTGTCCTTGTTTCTATAATTGGCCATGAGATTTTAGTTAACATTTATACCTTTCTTTCTTGCACTGCCTACTCACTCTTCCCTTTGATTTCAGGTTAACCTTTATTATTGGGGTTCATTATCTACTAATGTGAACCAAAGCTTCATTCTTGAAATTCTGAATCTTTAATGGTCCTGCCATTTTTCTTGTTTGTTTTTTTTAATTAAATTTTACAATTAGTTATAGAAATTTTAAGAGATGGCCTGGGTTCCAGATATTGGTCATCCATGCCCCATTGTGTCAAACAAACAGATCTGATCTCATCATCAATATCAATTGCTCCAGCCCCTTTTTGTCTTTTGGTTCAGTAGAGGCATGAGGAGTCCAAAAGATGTCCAGATGACAGCTTCAATTTCCAGTTCAATAAAATAATTGTGTTCCCTCATGAAAGCATAACATTTGTAACTAAAACCTATAAGCCAGCTGAGCTGAAAAATGCTGGCACAGGAAGCAAAAATTCTATAAAGGATTTTAGTATAATAAATATACTTGCATATACATCCTTCGATTCCATAGGATTCTATAACTGTTTGTCATGGGTATGAGAGAATTATAATCATCTGTTGGTCAACACATCCTTGAAGATATAACTTGAGCTTTTCAGGGTGCTGTTTCTCAATTGGCACTTTATTCAGTAAGCCATTTCTTCATTGTATCTAATCAGTTACTTAAGAGAAATGGGGTAGAAATAAGTTCGCTAGGGCTACCATAACAAAATACTATAGACAGGGTGACTTAAACAATAAAAATATATTTTCTGTCAGTTCTGTAGTCTGACAGTCCAAGGTCAAAGTACTTGTAGGTTTAGTTTCTTCAAAGGTCTGTCTCCTTGGCTTAATAGATGGCTGCCTTCTCTGTGTGTCCTTACATGGTCTTCTCTCTGTGCACACACATTCCTGGTATTTTTTCTGTGTGTCCAAATTTTCTCTTATGAGGATGCCTGTCACATTGGATGAGGGCCCACCTTAAAGGCCTCATTTTAACTCAATTTCCTCTTTAAAGGCCCTATCTCTAAATAGTCACCTTCTGAATTACTTGGATTTAGGTATTCAATATATGAATTTTCAGGAAGTCAATTCAGTCTATAACAGAGTATGTGGTAAGATCAATGAATTCCTATGTGTATGTCCACTACCATACTTCTTTTACTCTGAAATACATTACTTGATCAGAATCAATCCTAAGTGAAATAACATGATGGTGAATAAGACATTCCATAAGTCAATGCATTGTGCAGCTGGTACAAATATTATAAGCAGGAAAGACAAATCTATATCTGGAATAAATGTCTATTTCTGTGAAGACGAATTCTGTTTCCTACATGATAGAAAGTTTTCAGTGTAATCAACTTGCCACCACAGGACTGAGTAGTCACCCTGAGGAGTGTACATGTTGGGCATTCAATGTTGGTGTGACAGAAAGTAGCTTCCAAACATGGCCACAGCAATATTTCCTAACTAATCCATATGGAGATACCATATGTAGAGGCTAGATATAGAATTTTATGGCCAACAGTTCATCTGATGTCTGGGCCCACAACCAGTGGCAACTGACAGACAAGTAAGTCAAGGTGACCCCAGATGATTTCAGCTGCTAGCTAGTGAACACTCCCAGTCTTTGAGTTTTCTCAGCTGAGACCTCAAACATCATGGAGCATAGACATTCTCACTATGTCTAAATTCCTGATCCACAGAGTCCAAGTGCATAATAAATTGGTTGTTTTACGCACTAAATTTGAGGTTATCTTACACAATCATAATAACTACAAACATTCGGTACTCAGTAGTCACAGAAGCCAGATGAACCTCCATGAGGTGAATATCATATTGTTCAGCCCTAGCAATAGCCTTCATAAGGATGCTTCCTAAACCACCTTGACCACTTTATTTTTTTAAATATTTTTAAGAATTACTTATTTATTCATTTATTTTAGAGAGAGCAGAGGGAGGGGCAGAGTGAAAGGGAGAGAGAGTCTCAAGCAGACCCCATGCTGAGAGTGGAGCCCAATGCCAGGCTTGACCTCACAACCCTGAGATCATGACCTGAGCTGAAACTAAGAGTCAGATGCTTAACTGACTGAGCCACCCAGGCGCCCCACTCATGGCTGCTTTAGACCTAGACCAATGAGTTAGAACGTGGGTAGCTGGGAAAAGAGGATGGTTGAGATCCACAAAACATGTCATCTTGTCTACCACCATTGAGAATTTCCTCTGCAATGTACACCATGTAGTGAGCATTTGTATGACTTACATTTTGTCCATGAGTTCTACCCATATAGTCACACCTTCTACCCATACTTTCTAAATCCCTAAATACAAGTGAAACCTTTAGCAATTGCCATGAATTGGACTAGATCTATGCCTCTAGTTATCTCTTGGTCTGTACAAAGTAGACAACCAAATGCACTGGTTAAGAATTTGTTAACTAATAAGATTTTCCTTAACCCCTATCTTTTTTAGGACTTTTGTATTTGGGGCTTTAATGTTACAATATTCCATTTCAGTTGGTGCCAAATAGAACTAAATATAAACAGATACAATCATATATTTCCTCTTCGGCCAACTCCCCATAAAGCTACAGGTGTTGACTGAGAGAAAGGAGATGATTTCGCAGGACTTTTATCAAAATTTCTTGAGCCCATCAGACTTTAAGAAAATAAGCATCATTTTGCAAGGAAATAACTCAGGTGAAGTTATTATATCATCCCCAGGCCATGAGAATCTGTTCTCTTCTAGAAAGACGGAGGAAGTGGATTCTGTTTGTGGAGGGATTTCAGGGCATTTGGGTGCTCAAAATTCTCAGATTCAACCCCAAACATCACTGTCTTAGATTTCAGTTTCATATTTTTTTCTTTTTAGGGTTCTGTTATTGACATAAGAGACCATAGAGGCTGTGTTTTCTGTTCCCTTTACAGTCCTGTCATGCCTATGATCAAACCCATGGCTTCATTTTCATCAGGGTCTGTGTTTTGGCTTCTGGAGACCAAACTGCAACAGAAGACCTCTCATCCTGATGTTATACCTGAAGTTGGTAGGCCAACTACCCTATCCTTTATGTTAGGCTTCCAATGCCAACATCATAAGGCAGGCCACTTCACAATCCTTATAATTTTCTATTGCCCACATACCATTCAAGCTCCACATTCATCGTAAGTCCCAACACGTCAATGTTGTTTGTGGAAAATCAGTATATTATTTTGTATGGAAAATAAGAAAAATGTTCTTTCAAATATAAGGTCAAAATTTTTATAGCAGAAGCATTATAAGAGTTTTCTCTTAAATTACTTACATGTTTTTCCACTTAACAAAATTTTTTTTTTTCTACAGAAAGGAATAACTAGTTCTATGGTTTTCAGTGTTATTTAGACTATGGTTGCCCTGATAACAGCCAAATTCCTCACTTCTCTCCTAAATGAGTCAGTATACTCTCCTTATCCAGTCCTGATCATAACATACGCATCATTTTCAGACATGCTGTTTGCCTCAAGTCTTTGTTCATATTGTTCACCCAGATCAGAAAGTCCCTCAGTTATGCCTTTCATAATCTACAGTTGACCCATGAACAATGTGGGGATTAGGGGCTTGTATAACTTTTGATTCCTGCCCCTGAACTTAACTACTAATAGCCTACTGTTGACTGGAAATCGTACTGATAACGTGAACAGTCGATTAACACCATATTTTGTATGTTATACATGATATACATATTCTATACTGTATTCTTACAATAAAATAAGCTAGTTATTAGGAAACTCATAAGGAAGAGAAAATATAGTACTGTATTATATTTATTGGAAAAACTCCACATATAACACAACTCACACAGTTCAAGCCCATGTTTTCAAGGGTCAACGGTATTATCATGTGCTAGTCAAGCTTCACTCAGTTATGCACTCTTTTCTAGCTATTTTAACCATGTTTTCCATTGTATATTTTTGTAATTGATTGCTGGGATTACAAAAACATCTTATTTATTTTGGGGAATATTTTCTATGTTTTATTGAACATTGTGGTATTTGTAGGAGGAGTGCTATAAATTTACACCAGCTCTCAGAGTTAGGTCTATGGAAACTGGTTGCCAATGTGGAGGCTGGAGGAAGAAGTAGGGCCATTGGGATGTGAAGTAGCATACAAGAAGTTTG